GGGCGGCTGGGTGGGGGAGAAGGGGGTGGGGGCGGCCGGCCCGCGGTTTATATATGCCCACACCCTACCGCCGGAGTCTCCGGCGATAGGTTCAGACAACCTACCGTCGGGTGGGGCGGCGGTAGGGTGTGACGGAGGGGGCACAACGGCCGTTATCGTTACTGACGTGAAAAAGTTTGCTACCGCCGCAGCTCTCGGCGGTAGGCTATATGATCCTACCGCCGGGCCACCTGGCGGTAGGCAAAAGGGTCAAATTCCGAAATGTTTTCAAACTGGGATCAGATTTTAATTTTGTTTTACAAAAGGGTCAAAACCCGAAATTTGGCCTGACGTAGCTATCGGGAAGTTGCCGTCCGGAGCCAGAAGTTGCCGGTGACCAGTGGCGGAGCCAGCTTACTGGCAGCTTGGCGTCCGCCACACCTAAATCTGCCGCAAGTATGTACCTATAGTACATATACCAGTACGCTTACGTATTTCATGCTGGTGGGGCTGACGTAGCCTACAAGTACCTCGTATATATACTGCACTATATTGCCTACGTGTTGGGCACGTTGCTGACCGGCGTGCATGCAACTTAACTACACCGCGCTAAAATACAAATGCACGTAGAATAAAGAATCTGAACCGTTCGGTGAAAAAGAGAATACATGATACAACCGGCCAACTCACGGCCGCGAGTCGCAACAGCTTCCTAGTTCAAAACTGCCAGGGATTTTGAGTGCCAATACTTGAGTTTTGGGTTGCGCGGCCGTATAGTATCTATTCCCTTCGTTTCTAAATATAAGCCCTTTTAAAAATTTCAATACAAACTACATACAGATATACATAAACATATTTTACAGCTTAGATTTATTTATTTTGCTTCGTACGTAATCCGTATTGAAACATCTAAAAGGTCTTATATTTAGGAGCGAAGTGAGTACTATTCTAGTAAAATCTTGTATAGTTGCATTACACATGATTTTCTCTCTCGTAAATATCGCCACACCTGAAATTCATTCCTGCCTCCGCCATAGTGAATGGAGGCTCACATCACCGTCTTGGAGAAGAATGTGGCATAGAAAGTTGGACAAACACCATTGACTCATCCATACCTCGCTAGCTTCTCGACGTAGCCAAAGTTCGCCATGCTTCGCTAAAGGAAGAATAAGTCAACATATGGAATCACGAGTTGTTGTCGTCCATACCACCGAACGACATTGTCAAAAACCACCCACAAGAAGTGAAGACAAAACTGTGACCCCCAAACTGCCCTAGACCGAAGCTCCACATGCCTTCCATCGATACCAATCAACACCGCCAAAATGAGGACAAGATGTGGAGACCTTATTCCATGTGGCCGATGACAACATCACCTCGCCATCGCCTGTAGGACACCTAGAATGATCCCTAAACAGTGCTAGGGTGACCCAAACAACACGGCTAACCCCAGACCGGGGTTTATCCCATCATCAATGCTGGGAGGCTTTGTGAGGAAAGGGAAACCGTCATGAACAACACACATGAGAGGCACAATTATGCCAAAGATGTGCATCCTCAGCGTATATCTGTACATCAATGTGGTTGCTTTAGCACAATTACGTCAAGGATGTGCCATCGTCAACGTATATCAAAACATCAATGCTATTAATTTTGTACCGTGAAATTTTAATACTTTTTCAGTAGTCATACCGGATTATCGGGTATTTAGTATATGGGATTTTAATTCCTTTTCACAAGCTGTACCCGATTAGGCGATTACCATTCGTTCGGTATACCTCACCATTAAGCTCTACCGCTGTAAGAATTGTTTGCCTCGCTCTTAATCTTGTCCTCATTCTGGCGATCTACCGGCGGCGGAGGAGGATGACAGCGGGGGAGGAACCCTAGATCTCTTCAACCCCTTCTTTCCAAAAAAATAAATCCTACGTATAACTCATCCCGTCCCGGCTTTAGCCACCGGCAGCGCGGGCTCCACCAGCCAGTGAGACAGCACCGTGCCGCACTGCCGCTACGGCCCTACGGGAACCCAACGACGGACCCCAGGTTTCAAAGGAAGGAGAGGGGAAGGGAGAGCCGACAGAGAGAGCACTCACAGGGGCAGCGCAGGGCAGGCGGCGTGCCCTCACTCGCCTCCCCATCTCGGAGCTGGCCCTCGGCGCCGGAGCGGTGAGAGAATCTGAGAGCTCCCGCGGCGGCCCCCATGGAGCCCAAGTCCCAGCCCGCGGCGCACGGCGACGGGGCGCCGGCCGAGGCCCCCCGCCGCCGCGGCGGCGGCGGCAAGCGCAAGGCGTCGGGGTCGTCGTTCACGCCGTCCAAGCGGCACGCCAAGGAGCGCAACGCCGCCTTCCACGCGCCCTCCCACATGCTGCACAGCGGGCCGCTCACGCGCGCCGCGCGCCAGTCGCCGCACAAGCTCTCGACCGCCCCGGCGGATGCGGCCCCCGCGGCGGCCGTGCCGGGGGGATCGGGCCCGGGCGAGGGCTCCGCGATTCGGCCCGACGAGGTGCAGACGCCCGCCGAGGAAACGCCGCTGGTGGATGAGGGGTTCGAGGCCGTTCGATCCCGCGGCGCCGGCGTCCATGTGGTCCCTACCTTCGCCGGTGAGCCCTCTCCCCTGTACAGTCGCTTGATCTCTCGTTTGGGGTGGCGAATTGCTGGAGCGAGGGTGGTTGTGAGGAGTCCGCGTTTTGCTAGGGCTTTCCGAGTAGAAGCGTTCGGTAAATTACCACTGGTTCACCGCATCCTTCCTGCTATTTAAATGCTTTACCGGAATGAACCAGTAGCATGTAGCAGAGGAGTGTAGTTCGATGGTTAGCATTGTTGCTGCAGTTAAGTAACCTGAATTAATACTTGTAAGTTGCACAATGATGTGCTAATTGTAGTTTTCATCTATAGATTTAGCTAAACTTGAGTGCATGCTCATTCTGTTGATTTCAGATTTAACTGCTTGATATAGGAATTTACTACAAATCATTGCCTTTATTACTTCTAGTGTGTGGTGGTAAACAGCTATTAATGTCTATTTGCCTTCCTCTTTGCTGTTGCCTTGTGCAAATGAAGAGTTGAGTGCTCATCATTTTGCTTTCTTCTATGTGCTTGGAGCATGACTTGTTTTCTTTTGAGAGATATCTTCTCCTTGTAAGTATTTTAACCATAGATCAGCTTTCTGACATTACCATATATAAGAGCAATTGCAACCTTGGTAAATCTTGATAACACAGTAAACAGTTGCCTCACCATGAAAGGGAAAGCACCATGGCAGATCTTGATAATTGCTGTTATCCAGTAACCATGTGCAACCATGACTAATACTGGCACAACCACTTCATTCATGTAATATGCTAATACTGCTTTTGTCTGTTGAAGGCCATACTAGCAACCACCTTATGATTCTATGTGATTGATCTTTGCGTAGTCTCTTATTTTCTTGAAATGTATGGTTTTTGTCTGTTCAAACTTCAAAGCATGCAAAGCCCATTTTCTTGAACTAAAATATTGTAAATACTATTTAGCAGAAGATATATTTTATGGTTTGATGCTGCCTTTCAAGTTTCCATCCTAATTGTCTTAATTATGATGACATGCTTTCCTTCTTTATTCATGTTCTGAAATCAATTTTCTTTCGAAATTAAAAAGTGCACAACAACAAATCATTTTCTTCCGCAGGATGGTTTTCATGGAAGGAAATCCACCAAGTTGAGAAGCAAACCCTGCCTTCGTTTTTTAACGGAAAATCGGAGAAGCGGACACCAGAGATATACTCGGGGATTAGAAATTCTATCATGATGAAATTTCATGCCAATCCTCAGCTGCAGCTGGAGCCCAAAGATTTGGCTGAGCTGTCAGTTGGGGAGGTCGATGCTCGACAGGAAGTGTTTGATTTTTTGGATCACTGGGGCCTGATCAATTTCCACCCTTTTCCACCTGCTGGCCTAGAAGAGAGTAAGCCAGAGGAGAGCCAAAGCGATTCTCGCAATGAGGAGAAAGCTTCTCTCATTGAGAAGCTGTTTAAATTTGAACCGGTTCAGTCATACATGATTCCTTTACCAAATAAAGGGGAGGGGGAAATTCCAGTGCCTCTGCCTACGTTGCTTCCTGATCCTGTTCTAGTGGAAGATGTAATTGCAGCAGCTGAGCCTTCCGTTGAGTACCATTGCAACTCTTGTTCAGTTGATTGCTCAGGCAAGCGCTATCATTGCCGGACCCAGGTAAGCATTTTTTTAGTGCCACATCCCTGCTCGGATTATTGCTATATCACCATATGTTATATCACCCATTAGAATCATACTGATATAGTGTACCTTGTGATTCAATTTGTGGATGGCAGCATTGATTTTTGTTTTATTGCTGCAGGCAGATTTTGACCTGTGTTCTAACTGCTACAACGAAGAAAAATTCGATGGAGGCATGTCCAAAACAGATTTCATCCTCATGGATTCCACAGAAGTTTCTGGTGCTCGTGGTACTAGCTGGACTGATGAGGAGACATTGCTTCTCTTAGAAGCTCTGGAAATTTTTGGTGGAAAATGGACTGAGATTGCCGAACATGTTGCTACAAAAACAAAAACACAGTGTATGTTACACTTTCTGCAAATGCAAATTGAGGATCGCTTCCATGATGGTGATGATATTCACCAAAATATCCATGAAAGCACAGAGCAAGCCTTGGTGGAAAAAAGCACCCCTGAAGTACCTGAGAAAATGGAAACTGAAGAGAAAGTTGAAGGAAAAGATACCAAGGATGAGAAGCCTTCAGAGAAAACGGAAGGCAATCACACAGAAGAAAAAACAGAAGAAGGAAGTGTTGTTGAAAATAAAGATGCCAAAAATTCAGGTGGTGCAGATTCAGTCACAACACCAAACGTTGATGAGCCAAAACCATCTTCTGATACTGACCTAGCAAAGGAAAATTCTGTTAATCTTGATACTTCTGAGAAAAATGCGCCAGATGATGCTATTGTTATTTCTGGTGAAAATGCATCAAATGATGCTATTGATATCCTGAAATCTGCGTTCGAGGCTGTTGGTAACTTCCCTGGACATGAAGGTTCGTTTGCTGATGCAGGGAATCCTGTTATGGCATTGGTAAGAACTGCCATAGTGTCTTATACCCTTGGACATCTTTACTTATTATACAGTATTTTCTACAATGAGGTATGTCAAATGTCTTGTGCAGGCAGCATTTTTGGCTGGTCTTGTGGAAGATGACAATGCTACCACTTCTTGCCGTAGTTCACTAAAAGCTATCTCAGAGGATTCTCCTGCACTACAATTGGCAAGTAGGCACTGTTATATTCTTGAAGATCCACCGAGTGATCTGAAAGACATTTTTGTCACTGTAAGGTAAGCAGTGTTTGCACCTGTGTAAAATTCTATTGCAATGTATTGTGCTGATGGGGTCAATGGAATTTTCAGTAATACAAATAAAGATGAGGATCAAGCAAAAGGTGAGGATCAAGCAAAAGGTGAGGATCAAGCAAAAGATGAGCATATGGTCATAGATTCAACTGGTACTGAGAAAAAGGACATCAATGTTAAGGAAGAGAATACCGTGTCTGTGGAAAAGCAAAACAGTCCATCCATTTCACCAAAAGACCACAAAGAATCAGATACTAAGAATGTATCTTGCGATGATGAAGCACCCACAGTGGAGCCTAAATCCAATAAAGCTAAGGAGACCGATGATCCAGTTCCTCTGGTGGATAAGGGTGCGTCCAACGACACAAAAGTTCCATCAAGTTCTACCAAAGATTCAGTTGCTCCAGAAAATAATGCAAATGGATGTGGTTTGTCAGCTTCTCAAGAGGTTGTTGCAGGAAGTACTACATGTGCAACTAATCCTGAGCTGTTAAAGGACAAACCAAGTTCTGAAGTGGAGCCAGATGATGATTCACCTTCACAAGGCAAGATCGAGCTTAACAAGACTGAAGATGCAGTTGCTGCCCCAACTGCCGTACAAGAAGATGAGGAAACCCATACATTGGGGAATGGCAAGCTGGAAGGTACTTTATCTACATTTAGCTTATACGTAAAGTCCGAAACTATCTCTAATGAAACAAGAGAAGAGTAAGCATGCAAAGTTCAATTAGCGCATTCTGAGTAGTTAAACACTTATAATTATTCACTAGTCCAGAAGACTTCGTTGCAACATTGACATGCGTCAACTGCACATGTAAGCAGTCATGCTGGTCTGGTAATGCTGGGTAAGATTATTCATATTCCCATATAATCATATATTCATCATAATTTCTTAGCACGCCATCAGATTCAGCTGTTTCTGAGCAGGACCTGCTAAATCCAGAATTTTAGATCTGACTTACAAACAATAGTATTGTAGCCATGGAATATGTGGTTTGCTTTTCCTGTGCTGCCATAAGAGATCAACTTGTAGTAAAATTTGGATGTGGAAGTGAGAAGGAGAATTCTAAATGCTTTAGTTGCTTGAACTGTTCTATTTGTGCGCTTTAACAACTTAATTAGTTAAACATTCGTGTAGTTAGTTTTGTTTTCCTTTTCGTTCTTCAGTTGAATGATGAGTGCATTTATTTCCAATTTCTCGTTTCCCTTCTTGATCTTTTAGTTCCCAGACATAATCATTCTCTGACATCTGTATCCCCCAAATATTGGAGAATATATACCAGCTGTCTCCTGTAAGGATGGCCCGATGAGAACTTTGTGATATCTGACCACGATGAAGTAAACAGAGTTGTACGAATTAGAAAAAGGCAGTCATTAGAGGGGCAGAATTTAGAAAACAGATTTAGCTTCATAGGCCAATCCTCTTGGTGGTTCAATTTTTCATCAGCTGATTTCCTCCCCTGTGCTATCCCTATCTTGCAGAACCTAACAGTGCTGAAAATGTACCTGCCGATGGAGAGATGGTCTCAAGAGTGACCGCCGAGCATAATGATTCCTTAACTAGGCTAAAACGAGCCGCAGCGACTGCTGTTTCAGCAGCTGCTGCGAAGGCTAAGCTCCTTGCTGAGCAGGAAGAAGATCAAATTCGACGGCTAGCTGCACTGGTGGTTGAGAAACTGGTATAGTCGGATGCTTTGCTCTCCAAATGATCCCTCCTGTGTTCTGTGCCAGTAATAACTGCAAATTATATACTGTACTACTACTCCGTCCCATAATGTAGTGTCAAAAAACGTCTTACATTATGGGATGGAGGGAGTAGTGTTCTGTGCCAGTAAAGACTGCAAATTATATATTTTTTCATTCATGCAGCTGCAGAAGACGGAGGCGAAGATGTCATTATTTGCAGATGTTGAGCATGTGGCCCTGCGCACAAGAGAATACACTGAAAAGACCAGAAAGAAGCTTCTGATGGAGCGGAACGCAATAATCGCAGCTCGCATGGGTGCACTGCCATCTAGGCCGAACCAGCAGGGTGCAGCTGGGAACAGATTGCCGCCCGGATATGGCGCCCCTGCAGTAAGACCGCCAAACGCAATGCCCCGGCCGAGCAGCTGAGTCGATGAGGTAAAACCTGTCGCCTCGGTGATCGACCTGTATACCCGATTCTTTTAGAAGAACACCTCAGACCAATCAGGCATAAGCTATGCTGTTGTTGTAGCATTCATGTAGGAGCGTACCGTATCGTGATCTGTATAAGGGAAAAACCCGGCCATTTTGGCTTTGGATGTGATGCTCTCTCCGTGCACTCTGCTTGTGACTGGGCCATGTTATGATCTTCCGTGTAGACCTGAAGTTACCAAAAGAGTTTTCATGCGGAGTGATGTGCTTGTAAGGAGGCGATGGTTCGGTTTTCGTGGTCACCCTTGCGCGAATTTTGTGTGAAGATGCTCGGAGTCTTGTTCGTTTTTCCATCTATGTATTGTTTGTGTCTTTGTTAAGTGGCAAAGTCTCGACGGTGGAGGCAGCGTCGTATGTAATAAATGTCCCACGGTTCTATCCTTGTCTTGATGTGGCCGTCGTAGCCGATGCAACCTACACCGAGGATGAGCATGTGGTGTTTGATCCCGCGGATCAACGTCTCTCGTTCTTGTGGATTGTTATCTGGCGCTTCGGCTCTCGTTCTTGTGGATTATTGTCTGGCGCTTAGGCCTATCTTGGCTGCGAGTGTTTTCAAGCATGCTCTTGTCACTAGGTACGTTGGTTCGTTCTTTTGTATTCCCTCTGGTCCTTTTTAGTTCTCATATAAGATCTATTTGAAGTCAAGCCTAGTAGAGTTTGACCAACTTCATAGAAAAAAAATATCAATATTCATAATGTGAAATCAATATCAGTAGATGCGTCATGACTTAAATTTTCATATTGTATAACTTTAGCATGATAGATTTTGATATTTTTTCATATTTAATATAAATATGATCAAACTTTATGAAATTTGACTTCAGACAATTCTTATATGCAGAGTAAAAAGGACCGGAGGAAGTACAGTGATGAAGCAACCGTTGCAAGGGTTGTGCGTGTGCCCTCGACCATAGTGCGTTCATTAATTTTAGGTTCTCATGTGGGCTCCTTGAAACTTCGAGATTAGTCAAGTGCTGGCTGGTTTGGTCTTCTACGGCTTCTTCACTAGTTGTACGGAGAAAAGTTGAGATATAAGAGATGTATAGGGTTTGTGTCCTGCTTAGAGAGACGGGGCGGCAATGGCTCTCTAAGGCTGGAATAAGGTTCTACCCGCCTAGCCCTTGTCTCGGTGGTGATTCTAGCATCATCGGAGAGCGTGTGGTGGTTTGTTTCCGGCGGATTTCGCGGGATTCGGCCAGGGTTTGTCTTCGGTGGCTCCACATGGATCCAATATTTGATCGTCTGTGTTCGTGTGTCTATAGGTTGCATTCTTCCAATCTAAACTTCTCTTCAATGGTGGCTGTTGCTATTTTGGTGCGCTGGTCCTATAGGGTCTTAGCACGACGACTCGATTGTCTATTACAACAAGTTTTGCTCGGCTCCAGTGAGGGATGAGCGATGACGGCGGCATGCCTTTGGCTCGCTTCAGTGCTTGCAGTCCTCGCTAGGTGGTTTACAGATCTGAATGCAATTTTTATTATTTCTGGCGTTGTACTATCATGATTGATGACGAATAGATTGGAAATTTTACCGCAAAAAAAGGAAATACAAGAGATGGATTTGGGGTCAACTACCACAGAGGATTTTAATGAATCCTTAAAATTTTATCATGGCCCTTTGTTTTTCTTTTGTTGATCTAATGTATTTTGTCTTATTTATCAATAAATAAAGTTAGGCCATTTACTAAAACAAATAAAGAAAATGCAGGGCTAGCCCGGAGGCCTAGCAAACAAAGTGATAGTCTGGGACCCATGTCAAGAAGTAGACATGATCGTACCCTCGGTTGGGTTGGGTTGGTTTTTGACCGAAATCACTAATTATGGGGTACCCCTTGCGAAGGTCACTCTCACCTTCTCTTGTGTTGACAAGTGGCGCCAAGCTTGTCGTAATCTGGGAAATTTTTTGCCCGTTATTTTTCAAATCGTTTTATCTCTTGAACCGCGTGTCCAAATCACAAACGTTTTCATTGTTAGATTTCTCGTGTCGAGATTTTGGAAACTAGATTTCATGTCCATAGGTTGCAACACATTTTTTCATGAAAATGGAAATAAAAAACAAAAATAAAAAGCAAACAGAAACAACAAAAGGAAACCGAGAAAAGGACTGAAAAAGAAAAAAGGAAACCCAAAAAAACCCGGCATTGTTGTGCTGTTCTTCACAATTTTTTCGGATTTTCCCTTTTCTAGAAGCACTGTTGTGCTTCTCCCTTTTCGGGAATTTTTTATAAAAAGCACAAACTGTGCTTTTCTTTCTTTCCAGGGAAGCATACATGTGCTGTTTCTTTTCAGAGAAGCACAAACTGTGCCTTTTTCTTTTTTCAGAAAGCACAACTGTGCTTTTCTCTTTTCGGAAGCACAATTGTGCTTCTCGCCAAAAAACACGGCTTTCTGAATTATTATTTTCTCATCAAAATCTAGGAAAAAACTAAAAGCCAAAAAAACATGCAAAAAAATATATCCTAAAGGTGCGTCAGCGAGCGGCACGTGGTAGCGGGTAGGCGCACCACTAGACATGTTCCTAGGGCCCAAAAACTGAGCGGTTGCTCCCGTTTTTTAGCAGGCTTAACAAAGCCTGCTCTAAAAATCCCAAACCACACCCGGCTGGAAAACGTAAATAATGATTGTTTTCATTTAATTGATTATTTTCAAAGTATTTAAATCTTCTAAAAAACTAAGAGGTAAATACACTAGGAGTCTTAGAACTTGCGCGCGACGGTCAGTTTGGTGCACAGACTTGTAAAATACGTGTTTCTGGTCCACGAACTTGCATGAAGGTGCAAATACAGCCACATTTTACGTATGGTAGATTTGCAGAAAGACCCACGCCTTTTTTATTAATACATTGGGCCGCTCAAATAAAATAAATAAAACAAGGGCTGAGGTGGGTTTCAAATGGATGACCTGCAGCTAAACATATCCTGTGTACAGCCAGCAGACCGACAACAATACACGTTCATATCGCACGACCATAGTATATTTTATCAAAAGGGACCAAAAAACTAAAGAAGAAATCAAACCCGAAAAACAGGATCCCCACAATTCGAACCTATGAATTTGTGGTCGCCCATGACTAAGCTAACCACCAGGCGACAATGGCACAGGATGTTATAATTATATAAACACTGTTTATGTTGTTATGTCTTTTGTTCAATGTAACAAATACAAAAAAAACTTAGATTCTAGTGTCCTGACCTTCCAAAAATGTCCATGTGTTACAAAAAAAATGTACGTTAAATATTAGATAATATTTCAACATTGTAAAATATATATTTGTATAATTACAAACATACGTTGCATTTAAAAAGGTTCATGCATTTAAGAAAATGTTCGTGACATCTAACAAAAATTAATACAATGTATAAAAATGTTCACGTAGTTTAAAATATTTTCTATCATCCAAAAATGTTTAACATGTATTTGAAATAGGTTAAAAAACTTGTATTTGAAAAAAAATGTAAATTATATGTTTAGAAATATTTAAAAAATATATAAATGTCTTTAGAATTTAGATGTATACCTGAAAGAGATCATGTGTATGAAAAAACTTGACATCAAAACATATAATTGAAAAAATGTTAATAATGTATTCGGAAAGTGTATACAAATATTTCTGTTGTATTAAAAATGTAAAATATGTATGTAAAATATATATCAAAACATATATTTGAAAATATTAATTACGTATTTGAAAATACTAAACATATATAAAGAATAATGTTTAGTATGGCACCATGCATTTGTTTTTTGCGGGGATGTAGCTGGCTATGCATATATGGCTATATAGTACTCCCTGTGTCCCCTTATATAAGACGTGGACAGAGGGAGTAGTACGTACGAGCCCGTATGTATTTACAATATTTAAATATTATCCAATTCAAAAAATTTAAATATTATTTAAAATGCCGCGTGCCTTTTTTATAATGCATGAACATTTTTGTGAGGTCACAAACACTAGAATATAAGTAGTATTTCTTACATCGAACAAAAGAGATGACAATATATAAAATGTTTAGCTCTTTGGAACATTATGTTTTTTAGTAGCGTCCAGGACTCCACGAGGTCAGAGGTTCAATCTGTAATTCTTTAATTTTTCAAGTGTTTATAGGATGTAAAAGGTAGTCGTACTGTTCAATGATGAAAGGTTATCTGGTCTAGTGGCTGTTCACGCAAGACTATTAGCGGCAGGTCATGTGTACGAAACCCACCACCTTTTCTCTTATGTTTTTTTCTTTACGTGAAGGGCCCAGTACATGAGTAAAACAATTCAAAGGTTTTTGTTGCAAATTTACCATATGAGAACTGTTACAGTGCTGACACCGGGCCCTAGCGATGTTTGCGTACCATGCAGGTTATAGGTATGTCCACGTACGTAAAATGTGACCGTGTTTATACGTCCATGCAAATTAGCGGATCAGAAACACGTATTTTGCAAGTTTATGCATCAAACTTACCGCCACGCGCAAGTTCTAAGACTTCTAGTGTATTTACCTCAAAAACTAACGCCCACATGTGTGGCTTGTTGCACATCGCCCACGCGCCTCCTTTACCACTCATTTTGCCACATGTGAATAGATGACATCAGCAGGAATCTTTTTCGTTTTCGGCTTAAAAATGTTTTATCTCCTAATTAAAAATTTGAATTAAAAATCCATTTTCACCATTAAATCCGCCTCGACGAGATTTTCAAAACTAGACCCCACGTTGATATGTTTCGACAAAAAAATTTTGTGCCCAAAAGTTGCCATGATGTTTACGCTGCAGTTGCCATAGGGCTTAGACTAAAGTTGCCATGTGGCAATCTCAGTTTGTAGAGCATGACAATTTTAGTATTTTGATGATGGCAACTCCAGTACTTTGACCATAAAAATTATTTTTTGTATGAACCATGGCAATTTTAAGTGCATGTATCATGGCAATTTTAGTTTATGGTTCATGACA